CGGATCATATTTACACCGGGAATTCCCACAAAATTGGGAAGTCAGGCAATCTAGCGTTCCCCACAATCGGAGTTTCCCGATCGCCTTGATTAGCCCGTCCGTCCGAGGAAAATTACCGTCGGTGCGTCAAGTTCGTTGACCCCGCGACCAAAGGATTCTGGGAGACTGATTCAAGATCCCAGACCCTCTCTCTTGTAGGATATCACCAGAGGCGTAGCGAGGGGGGCGGGGGGGGGGGGACATACGTCCCCGGGCGCCGACCTTAGGGGGGGGGGGGTGCAAATGAAAAGTTCGAGGGGGGGTGGTGCAAATCGAAAATTTGCTCCCGAGGGGGGTGCCAAATTGAAAGTATGTCCCCGGGCGCCGGGAAGGGTCGCTACGCCTCTGGATATCACGGTACACAATTCGCCGGTCGGGCGATGGCAACATTTCGCCAGTCGGGCGATGGCAACATTTCGCCAGTCGGGCGATGGCAACATTTCGCCAGTCGGGCGACGGCAACATTTCGCCAGTCGGGCGACGGCAACATTTCGCCAGTCGGGCGACGGCAACATTTCGCCAGTCGGGCGATGGCAACATTTCGCCAGTCGGGCGATGGCAACATTTCGCCAGTCGGGCGATGGCAACATTTCGCCAGTCGGGCGATGGCAACATTTCGCCTATTTCAGCCATCTTTTAAACCCAGCTGGGCGAAATCTTGACGTCACAACTTGACGTCACTATACCCTGAGTTTTCACGTCACTTAAAGACGTGGATAAAAGATGATTACGTCACAGCCGGAGCATGCATTCAAGGTCAAGGCTGGAGTTTAAACCAAGTTCGACCTTCACCCCTCTGTCAGCATAAACATACATTTTAAACATATTTTTAAAACATATTTTTGGCATCCATCAACAAAAGTGTTATCACGTGATTACGGCCCTTGTTTCCATCATCTTCAGTTGCCCACCCGGTAAACAACATCGTGTCAACATCCATACCATCTTCTCGTCCTTCATATATATATATATATATATATATATATATATATATATATATATATATATATATATATATATATATATATATATAATGTATTTGAGAAAGCTATTCCCGACACAACAACTGAGGCTTGAAGCTAAAAAATGCTACACCAAGCCTTAAGGACGCCATATTTCATCAGATTTGAAATCCGATTAATTTTGAGGAGCGCTCACTGGCAGTGTGAAAGACATTATCGGAAAATCCCGATCTTAAAATGTAAATTATTTATTGGGGCAGTGACCGGTGGTTATTCACATGCATCTTCCGGGAGTTTAACTTGGTGTGGGAGCTTAAATTAGGGGAGGATAACTTGGTGTGGGAGCTTAATCTAAAGGAGGATAACTTGATGTGGGAGCTTAATCTAGAGGAGGATTACTTGGTGTGGGAGCTTAAACTAGGGGGGGATAACTTGGTGTGGGAGCTTAAATTAGGGGAGGATAACTTGGTGTGGGAGCTTAAACTAGGGGGGGATAACTTGGTGTGGGAGCTTAAACTAGGGGGAGGATAACTTGGTGTGGGAGCTTAAACTAGGGGGGATAACTTGGTGTGGGAGCTTAAACAGGGGGAGGATAACTTGGTGTGTGACTTCTGGCTAGAGTTATCTCCCAGCACTTGGGTCTCAAAGTCACACAGCTGGGGAATTATATGGGAACCAGGGTCCCACAGCTGGGGAACTATGGGAACCAGGGTCCCACAGCTGGGGAACTCTATGGGAACCAGGGTCCCACAGCTGGGGAACTCTATGGGAACCAGGGTCCCACAGCTGGGGAACCCTATGAGAACCAGGGTCCCACAGCTGGGGAACCCTATGGGAACCAGGGTCCCACAGCTGGGGAACCCTATGGGAACCAGGGTCCCACAGCTGGGGAACCCTATGGGAACCAGGGTCCCACAGCTGGGGAACCCTATGGGAACCAGGGTCCCACAGCTGGGGAACTCTATGGGAACCAGGGTCCCACAGCTGGGGAACTCTATGGGAACCAGAGTCCCACAGCTGGGGAACCCTATGAGAACCAGGGTCCCACAGCTGGGGAACCCTATGGGAACCAGAGTCCCACAGCTAGGAACTCTATGGGAGAACTACCAACTCGAGGATGCTTGTATCACCTTGACCTACTTTCTTCCATCACCTGATATAAGGTCACCGTGACACCGTGCATACTAAACGTCATAACTATGACGTAGCAAGCCTCCTCATCGTCTGCGCATGCGTGAAGACAAGATGTCTTGTATTACACTCGTGTATGACGTCACAAAATGCAGACATTTTAAATATTTGCCGCTGATGTTTTGTTTACAGCAGCTGATGGCGTGGACGGATGTGGAGTAAAATGTTTGGTGGGGGGGGGGGGTGGAGCCACAAGGTGTATACAAGCAACCCAGAGTTTTAATAAACTTATTGAGCTTAAGCTCGCTGAGCTCAAGGGCGCTGAGCTGAGCTATACAGTAGCTAAGCGAGGGGGGGGGGGGCGGGGGGGACATATGTCCCCGGGCGCCGGCCATAGGGGGCGCCAAAATGGGTTGGAAAAATAAATTGAAAGGTTGAGGGGGGTGCAAATCGAAAGTTTGAGGGGGTGGGGGGTGCAAATCGAAAGTTTGAAAGGGGGGGGGGCAAATCGAAATCTCGAGGGGGGGGGGGGGGTGTAAATCGAAAAGTTTGTCCCCGGGCGTCGGGAAGGGTCGCTACGCCTCTGGAGCTATACAATCGTTTGGTGACAAACAAGAGCAACTTTGATTGAAATTAATTTAGCGACTAATTCTGTCACAAAATTAATTTAGCGACTAATTCTGTCACAAAATTAATTTAGCGACTAATTCTGTCACAAAATCAAACTCAGGCCATTTTCACTATACACTTCCACAATAAAATCACAAGCACCCCCACCGCCGACCCCATCCCCACCCCCACCCCCGACCCCAATCACCAGGGGTCCGCTAGCTCAGGATGAGAACCACTGAGTGAGATCTCCACATATGTGTGGTGTGGTGAGTTCTATTTCAGGAATGTGGGGGGGGGGGGGGAATTTGTTCAACTTAAGAAATGTGTTTAGGAAATCCAAGAAAACATGAAAAGACTAATTCAGGGGGGATTTGGGGGGGGGGGGGGAGGAGGCAGGGATGTTTTAACCTGATGGAACTACAAGAGTTGTTTTGTTAAAACACGTTGTGTATGTCTGTCTGTACCTTTGTCGACTAGTCTGTCAGACATTCAGACATTGACCAGCTACAATTTGATCACAGACATTTGCACGTACAGATGTAGCAACAGTAAGCTAGCAACACAAACCTGCCATAGCAACAGAGAACTTCCCTAGCAACACAGACCTACCCTAGCAACACAGACCTACCCTAGCAACAGAGAACTTCCCTAGCAACAGAGAACATCCCTAGCAACACAAACCTGGCTGTCTGGCATCATTTTTGTACTTTGACCGGACCAGAACCTCAAACCGGAAGTTCGCGTATCTCACGTGATACCCGTGTACACGTGACCCGGTCACGTGACAAGATGCAGTGGTCACGCCTATTACGCAATCATTCCCAACATCTTCAGATGCCCAAGTCGTTTTTAGGCCTACACAATCAACAAGATATTTTCATGTTTTTGTAGGGGGGTGGGGAGAAGGGGGGGGGGGGGGTGAGGCTTGCAACAGACGAGAAGAACCTTCTAGCATGCTAGCAGGATCGCCGGTTGCCGTGATCCTAAAATAAACCTGGACGCCATATTTGTTTTCGCGCTTTTCCGCTTGGAATTTTTGTATAATTGATTTAAGATAATTGAAAAAAAGTTTTTGGCGGGAAAATCACTTGTTGACACCTGGTCACATGGTCTGCCAGGGGACAAAGGTCAGTCGTGCTGCCGTCAGTGAATGACCGTACAATCATGGCCTAGGTCCTACAATCATGGCCTAGGTCCTACAATCATGGCCTAGGTTCTACAAACATGGCCTAGGTCCTACAATTATGGCCTAGGTTCTACAATCAATGAATGACCAATCAAACAATCCAAACACCTGTCGCCCACAGGAAGACTTAAGATCACCTGACATTCAATCAACGAATCTCCACCTCAGCCCAAGCCAATGTGAACATCTCAGAATTTCTGCCACTGTTTGAGACATCTCCACTAATCAAAACAAATGCTGGAAGTCGGTGGCTGATGCACTATCAGGTTCAACTTGAGTGTAAGGTCAAGGCCGAAAAAACAGTGGAGGTCATCACCCACGTACCAGGTAAAGTGATCCCCCCCCCTCCCCCCCATGTCAGAAGGTCAGCTACATACCTGAAGTAGTTCCCCTACAAGAATGTTTTCATTAGTCGTGACGATTTACTTGATTAAAGAAAAGTGAGCGCCCCCCCTCCCCCACCTCCACCCCCTCCCCCCCACACTTGACATGGAACCAGCAACTGTAGAACTGGACGTAAACCATTCAAGTTTGGTCAAAGCTGAGATGGAAGATTTGACCACACCAAGACAACAACAAGCGGACCAGACAAAAATCAAAATGGCGGTTAATGGGCAGATAATTGTCGTCTGCATGTCATGTACCGCACGTGATGATTATAACGTATTTTGTAGAGTACTCGTCTTATGTTTAGTTCAAATCTCTGGTTTAGAGAAGTGCAACAAGGTAGTCTCCCTTACACGGGATCAAAGCCAAATTTAAAGCTGCAACCACACCCCAGCTACCAACCACATCACAGCTACCAACCACACCCCAGCCACCAACCACACCCACCTACCAACCACACCCAAGGCCACCAACCACACCCCAGCCACCAACCACACCCAACATCATTTCTCCAACTGCACTCGCATTCACCTCTGATTGCTGCCCCCCCCCCCCCCCAAGTATTGATGATTGATTAGATCTCATGTCTTCTCTATTTGACGTCAGGCCGCAGGGCACCGTGACCTTGATCAATCACGTGAACAAGATGATGCCAAAACGAGGCTGGATAAAAAAACATTTTTCTAATGGGATAGGTTCAGAGCACCTGGGATATGGGATAGGTTCAGGGCACCTGGGATATGGGATAGGTTCAGGGCACCTGGGATATGGGATAGGTTCAGGGCACCTAGGATATGGGATAGGTTCAGGGCACCTGGGATATGGGATATGTTCAGGGCACCTGGGATATGGGATAGGTTCAGGGCACCTAGGATATGGGATAGGTTCAGGGCACCTGGGATATGGGATAGGTTCAGGGCACCTGGGATATGGGATAGGTTCAGGGCACCTAGGATATGGGATAGGTTCAGGGCACCTGGGATATGGGATAGGTTCAGGGCACCTGGGATATGGGATAGGTTCAGGGCACCTGGGATATGGGATAGGTTCAGGGCACCTGGGATATGGGATAGGTTCAAGGCACCTGGGATATGGGATATGTTCAGGGCACCTGGGATATGGGATAGGTTCAGGGCACCTAGGATATGGGATAGGTTCAGGGCACCTGGGATATGGGATAGGTTCAGGGCACCTGGGATATGGGATAGGTTCAGGGCACCTAGGATATGGGATAGGTTCAGGGCACCTGGGATATGGGATAGGTTCAGGGCACCTGGGATATGGGATAGGTTCAGGGCACCTGGGATATGAGATAGGTTCAGGGCACCTGGGATATGGGATAGGTTCAGGGCACCTGGGATATGGGATAGGTTCAGGGCACCTGGGATATGGGATAGGTTCAGGGCACCTGGGATATGGGATAGGTTCAAGGCACCTGGGATATGGGAAAGGTTCAGGGCACCTGGGATATGGGATAGGTTCAGGACACCTAGGATATGGGATAGGTTCAGGGCACCTGGGATATGGGATAGGTTCAGGGCACCTGGGATATGGGATAGGTTCAGGGCACCTGGGATATGGGATAGGTTCAGGGCACCTGGGATATGGGATAGGTTCAGGGCACCTAGGATATGGGATAGGTTCAGGGCACCTAGGATATGGGATAGGTTCAGGGCACCTGGGATATGGGATAGGTTCAGGGCACCTGGGATAGGGGATAGGTTCAGGGCACCTGGGATATGGGATAGGTTCAGGGCACCTGGGATATGGGATAGGTTCAGGGCACCTGGCATATGGGATAGGTTCAGGGCACCTGGGAAATGGGATAGGTTCAGTGCACCTGAGATATGGGATAGGTTCAGGGCACCTGGGATATGGGATAGGTTCAGGGCACCTAGGATATGGGATAGGTTCAGGGCACCTAGGATATGGGATAGGTTCAGGGCACCTGGGATATGGGATAGGTTCAGGGCACCTGGGATATGGGATAGGTTCAGGGCACCTGGGATATGGGATAGGTTCAGGGCACCTGGGATATGGGATAGGTTCAGGGCACCTGGGATATGGGATAGGTTCAGGGCACCTGGGATATGGGATAGGTTCAGGGCACCTGGGATATGGGATATGTTCAGGGCACCTAGGATATGGGATAGGTTCAGGGCACCTGGGATATGGGATAGGTTCAGGGTATCTGGGATATGGGATAGGTTCAGTGCACCTGGGATATGGGAAAGGTTCAGGGCACCTGGGATATGGGATAGGTTCAGGGCACCTAGGATATGGGATAGGTTCAGGGTATCTGGGATATGGGATAGGTTCAGTGCACCTGGGATATGGGAAAGGTTCAGTGCACCTGGGATATGGGATAGGTTCAGGGAACCTGGGATATGGGATAGGTTCAGGGCACCTGGGATATGGGATAGGTTCAGGGCACCTGGGATATGGGATAGGTTCAGGGCACCTGGGATATGGGATAGGTTCAGTGCACCTGGGATATGGGATAGGTTCAGGGCACCTGGGATATGGGATAGGTTCAGGGCACCTGGGATATGGGATAGGTTCAGAGCACCTGGGATATGGGATAGGTTCAGGGCACCTGGGATATGGGATAGGTTCAGAGCACCTGGGATATGGGATAGGTTCAGGGCACCTGGGATATGGGATAGGTTCAGGGCACCTGGGATATGGGATAGGTTCAGGGCACCTGGGATATGGGATAGGTTCAGGGCACCTGGGATATGGGATAGGTTCAGGTACAAAGTGGTGCGGTGGTTTTAAACCCGTGGTGCCGGGATTTATGTCGAGTAGATTGTTGGACCAGCTGGGATTCGAACACAGGACACCGTCGTACGGTCGTCTAGAGAAAACAACAACGTCTGTCGTGGTATCTGTCGTGGTATCTGTCGTCTGCCTGATCTGCAGATTTCGCTTTAGTCTGATCACGTGATGACCTGGTCACTACACGGTTTCATGGCCCAGTATAGAAGGTCAAGGTCATTAGTTTATCCGTCGTGTCTTGAACTCACGTAGGAAACCACGTGTCTCGTGCTAATAAAAAAACGTTTTCTTGAAACAATAAAAAAAATAGACCCTGAGCTTCCACCCCCCCCCCCACACACACACACAACTGAAAAATAGCAAACGTTAAAAGAATTTTCCAGACTAGTTTAAGCTACTAATGGGAGTCTGCAAGTCACGTGATCAGACCACAGCCTTGACAATAATCAGCCTTGACCTTGGAGCTCAAGGTCATATACAACCTGTGACGTTAGTCGTCCGGTTTATGCGGACTAATCTGTGACGTCTGATGTATTCATGCGCGAGCGACATTCACAGACCACGTGACCAGACGCGGAAGTTGATGGCGGCCATCTTTAATGTCTCAAAAGGCGGGGCTTAAATCAATTCGAGGCCAGCACACGAGCTATAAATAGAACTCACGAGGATAAGCGACTGCTCACTTCACTGTGATTATACACACTCACACACATAGACACACACAGACACACGCATAGACACATACACATAGACACACACACATAGACACACACACAGAAACACACACACACATAGAAACACACACACACATAGAAACACACACACAGACACACACACAGACACACACATAGACACACAAACAGAGACACACACAGAGACACAGACACACACACATAGACACACACACAGACACACACATAGACACATACACATAGACACACACACATAGACACACACACAGAAACACACACACATAGAAACACACACACAGACACACACATAGACACACAAACAGACACACACACATAGACACACACACAGGCACACACACATGGACACACACAGTAGAGTGGACGTGGGAGGAATCTGGATCATAACATTCGGCATCAGACGTGTTGGCTAGCAATTAATGGTAGCAGTTGATCTGATGGCTACATCTAATGGCTACATGTGATGGCTACCTGTGATGGCTACATCAAATGGCTACATGTGATGGCTACCTGTGATGGCTACCTGTGATGGCTACCTGTGATGGCTACTTTGATGGCTAAATCTAATGGCTACCTGTAAGGGCTACCTGTGATGTCTACCTGTGATGGCTACATCTAATGGCTACCTGTGATGGCTACCTGTGATGGCTACTTGTGATGGCTACATCTAATGGCTACCTGTGATGGCTACCTGTGATGGCTACTTGTGATGGCTACATCTAATAGCTACCTGTGATGGCTACCTGTGATGGCTACCTGTAATGGCTTCATCTAATGGCTACGTGTGATGGCTATCTGTGATGGCTACCTGTGATGGCTAAATCAAATGGCTACGTGCAATTCACCACCTTGTATGTGTAACATCTAACGTGTGTATGTGTAACATCTAACGTGTGTATGTGTAACATCTAACGTGTGTATGTGTAACATCTAACGTGTGTATGTATAACATCTAACATACTTATGATACTAGGCCTAAAACTGATGGGTATCTAATTTAAAAATGTCTAAACCGGAAATGATTTTCGACCCACCACTATCAATAACCGCTTCCGCCCCCACCCACCCCCCACCCCCGTGTGTCCGGAACCTGACCCCCGCCCACCGGAAGTTGCGATCGTTATATCAACAAACTGACCAACATCCATCGTCAGGCCAAGTTTGACCAAAGCGAGCAATCAAATCTACATTTAGAGACTAATCCAAGTGGGAAACAGGGGAGACTAATCCAAGTGGGGAACAGTAGAGACTAATCCAAGTGGGGAACCAGGGGAGACTAATCCAAGTGGGGGAACAGGGGAGACTAATCCAAGTGGGAAACAGTAGAGACTAATCCAAGTGGGGGAACAGGGGAGACTAATCCAAGTGGGGAACAGGGGAGACTAATCCAAGTGGGGAACAGTAGAGACTAATCCAAGTGGGGAACAGGGGAGACTAATCCAAGTGGGGAACAGTAGTGACTAATCCAAGTGGGGAACCAGGGGAGACTAATCCAAGTGGGGAACAGTAGAGACTAATCCAAGTGGGGAACAGGGGAGACTAATCCAAGTGGGGAACAGGGGAGACTAATCCAAGTGGGGGAACAGGGGAGACTAATCCAAGTGGGAAACAGGGGAGACTAATCCAAGTGGGGAACCAGGGGAGACTAATCCAAGTGGGAAACAGGGGAGACTAATCTATAAGGCAAGTAAGGGAAGCGACTGCTGTAATGTTGCCACATGATTTGATTTTGTCTTTAAAATATCGCAGAATGTAGTTGTTCAGATAAATGTAGGATTAATTGTTTGGACAAGGGGCAGACTACTGGGCAAACTATGGGAGGCTACTGGTAAAAAAACAACTAGGGGAGGCTACTGAACAGACAAGAGGAGACTACTCGAAACAGTCAATTGGCATAAAAACAGACCAGCTTGCTTACAAAGACCACGGCCATCGGTTATATACTGTGATCGTCATTGATATTACCATTCCTTTTTTACCAAAGCCAAAACTAATGAGATGTTAATTTATGCACGCACTAATCACGTGATGCCGCTACACATGAGCGCAGTCGGACTAAATACCAAGTGACATGTATCTAACAATTGCAGTATGTCTTAAAATAGAACATCCCATAATTCTCCACTGGCCTATAATTTTGGGTCAGACTATCTGGGGTGGGGAGGGGTGGGGAGGGAAGTTTGGGATAGTTCTTGTTCTTGACCAACAGTTAATGTCTAAGTCTCTAAAAATGGCGCCGCCGGAAGTGGTTAGCTGACGTCATCGAGCAGTGATACCCAAGACAAAAGTACCCCAAGACAAGACAAAAGTCTGATATATGTCGTGTCAACTGTTCTATAATTAGATTCAGATGCCATTTATCAGGAGTACAGTTAGGTGCCATTTTTGATATAGCCGGTTAATTCAGCCGTCTGGGTTATGGTTATGTTTTAATACAATGACGTAAGATAAAGGGAAGTAATAAGTGTGTGTGTGTGGGGGGGGGGTATTTGACATGAAGCAGTGACAGGGGCGAGGGCACTCAGCTCTTGACTGAGGTCATAAAAAAGATGTTTTTTTTTTATTTTAACGGCAGCCTTAAAACTGACACGATCGGCAATTTTGGCTATTGGCAGAGTTTCATTTAAAAGACATTTTGCCATTTTAGCAGTGATCTAACTTGCCATTTTAGCAGTGATCTAACTTGCCATTTTAGCAGAGATCTAACTTGCCATTTTAGCAGTGATCTAACTTGCCATTTTAGCAGTGATCTAACTTGCCATAGAGCCCCACTCACCAGATATGACGTGATACACAGCAGACGATATTTACCCCCCCTGGTGTATCCCTCCACTCCCCCCCCCTGGTGCCGAGAACAAAGATAGATCACGGTGACCTCCACTGACCTCGCGTGCAGCCAATCGCTTTGTTACACCATCTATCTAAGCCGTCCAAAAATAGAGCCAGGAAAATTTATTTCATTTTTCAAAGCCTCCACCAGACGAATGTTGCAAGGTAAAAAAAAAAATCTAGATCGAATGTTCTCAACTTTTTATTTTTCTGATGAAACATCTCACTAAAAAAACCAACCACAAATTTATTTGAGGAGAAATCATGAAAAAATCTGGCAAATAAATCTTTCTGTAGCTGTTAGCGTGGTAAGGGGCGGCTACTGGGGCTGGTCCTCTATATTAAAAGTTTCGGGGGTGGGGGGTGGGGTGGGTGGGGGGCTCATATGAGCAGGAGTTGATGGAGAGGCAAGCAGACGATTGAGACGACTTGGCGCACCACAATTTGGTGCAGTCAGTGGTGTGTGTGGGCGTGGTTGGCTTTGGTTGTGTGTGTGTGTGTGTATCTGTGTGTGTGTGATTGTGTGTGTATCTGTGTGTGTGATTGTGTGTGTGATTGTGTGTGTGATTGTGTGTGTGATTGTGTGTGTGATTGTGTGTGTATCTGTGTGTGTGATTGTGTGTGTGTCTGTGTGTGTGATTGTGTGTGTGATTGTGTGTGTGATTGTGTGTGTATCTGTGTGTGTGATTGTGTGTGTATCTGTGTGTGTGACTGTGTGTGTATGTGTGTGTGTGTGACTGTGTGTGTATGTGTGTGCGTGATTGTGATTGTGAGTGGATATGTGCGTGATTGTGTGTGTATCTGTGTGTTTGATTTCATATGTGTGAGTGTCGATGTCATTTAGATGTAGCTGATGTTACTGTAGATGTCATGTAGATGTCATGTAGATGTCATGTAGATGTAGATGGTGTAGTAGACTTACCCGGGACGATTCGACTTTTCCAATGTCAGACTTTGGTCAGGAATTCTGGGGAAAAAAGTTTTTTTCTGATGTAATTTTTGTTTTGATTAAAGATGAGTAGTAAATAATCAGACAGGACCAGGACTTCAGGACACTGAGAGTTGATGTCACGTGACTGTTTTTTAATGTGAATGTAGACACGTCAAGCGAGAAAATTCTAAGCTAAAGAAATCTTGGCCATATTATCAAATTGTCATATTCTATCAGATGGCCATATTCTATCAGATGGCCATATTCTATCAGATGGCCATATTCTATCAGATGGCCATATTCTATCAGATGGCCACTATCAGATGGCCATATTCTATCAGATGGCCATATTCTATTAGATGGCCATATTCTATCAGATGGCCATATTCTATCAGATGGCCACTATCAGATGGCCACTATCAGATGGCAACTATCAGATGGCCATATTCTATCAGA